AACAAAACGTTCTTTATTTTTCTAAATAAATGGATTCAGTTTAAGAAAGTGTTAAATCTTTGGTAATTTTACTGAAATATTAAACGTTTTCTTCTCTCTTGGTTTGTGCTGTTTGTAATTTGATCGGTTGTTCCTTATATTGTTTTGTCTTCAAATGGTGAGGCGGGCCTTGTTCTATATTTGGTTTGATTTTAGAAAATAATCTGCTGAATAAAAGTCTTTGTTGAGGAAGAAGGACCTCCATGCTGCTTAAAAAGAAAACAACTCTACAGATTACAGCGGCTGAGCTGGTAATCTGACTCCTGGATTGGAGACGTTTGGATTCCTGCCTCTGGTTGCCACGAGCCGGATGACTGAGGATTTCATAACTAAGTTCTAATGTTTACTATAGAGAAGAAGCTGTATTAGGATACCGGATATATTCCAAAAAAGTTAAAATCAATCCTCTGGACTTTGTTTCCCAGTTTGAAGACGTTTCTCTTCCATCCAGGAAGCTTTTTCAATCCAGAATGTAAGAAATAGCGTTAAGTATTTTCAGAAGGTTGTATTCTGAATAAAACCAAACTTTTCCTTTAAATTTAAATGAGATATATTAGCCTTAATACCACATCTTCTTTCCTTTGATGTTCCATTAATGAATTGAATGAACTCATTTTGCTAATAAATGAAACAGTAAATGCTAGAAGTGACGTTTAAACCTGACATCTTCAGGCTTAACTAGAATTAGATTCCCAACAGACAGGAAATCAAAGCCAGATTATGCTTTAATCCAGAGTTTATCCTCGTTAGATGAATACTAGCAATGAATTAGGATTTTCTACAGGACGTTTCCTCGAGTCTCCTTTTCAGGAGAAACTAAACCTGTGGAGGAGTAAACGAGTATCCGGATGGAAAACCAAGCTTATGCTCTGGTAACCTGACAATCCTGCAGTTTGTAGCAGATGAACACCTCAGACCCCCTGCAGCTGCAGGTCTGTGTTCGTTCCAGGGGGCTGTGGGAGTCATGGGGTGTTAACTCAGACCCCGCTAGTAGGAGCACAGCGGCTCGAGCACAGGAAGTAAACAGCCTGGGGATGAACAGCGGCGTCATCGCTGCTGAGTCCTGCATCTCCTTCATCCTCCAGCAGTTTGTCTCGCCTCCGCTGGGTGAGTCTTTGCTGACTAAAGATCTAAACCAGCAGAGGACTCATCCTGACTTCTGATTCACAGATGGTGTCAAACACAGTGATGAAGGTCAGAAGAGCAGGAGCGTTTCTCAGCGTCTTCAGACGGATTCACCACATCAGCTCTATGAACTCTGGCTGCTTCGTATTTCCTGTCAGATCATCTGTGATCTACTGTTAGTTCTGCTGCTATAGGCTTAGACTGCTGGAGGACATAGGGACCCCTTTTTCACCATTCTGCTTCATTCTATCTCTATAGTTCTGCTGCTATAGGCTTAGACTGCTGGAGGACATAGGGACCCCTTTTCCATCATTCTGCTTCATTCTATCTCTATAGTTCTGCTGCTATAGGCTTAGACTGCTGGAGGACATAGGGACCCCTTTTTCACCATTCTGCTTCATTCTATCTCTATAGTTCTGCTGCTATAGGCTTAGACTGCTGGAGGACATAGGGACCCCTTTTCCATCATTCTGCTTCATTCTATCTCTATAGTTCTGCTGCTATAGGCTTAGACTGCTGGAGGACATAGGGACCCCTTTTCCATCATTCTGCTTCATTCTATCTCTATAGTTCTGCTGCTATAGGCTTAGACTGCTGGAGGACATAGGGACCCCTTTTCCATCATTCTGCTTCATTCTATCTCTATAGTTCTGCTGCTATAGGCTTAGACTGCTGGAGGACATAGGGACCCCTTTTCCATCATTCTGCTTCATTCTATCTCTATAGTTCTGCTGCTATAGGCTTAGACTGCTGGAGGACATAGGGACCCCTTTCTCATCATTCTGCTTCATTCTATCTCTATAGTTCTGCTGCTATAGGCTTAGACTGCTGGAGGACATAGGGACCCCTTTTTCACCATTCTGCTTCATTCTATCTCTATAGTTCTGCTGCTATAGGCTTAGACTGCTGGAGGACATAGGGACCCCTTTTTCACCATTCTGCTTCATTCTATCTCTATAGTTCTGCTGCTATAGGCTTAGACTGCTGGAGGACATAGGGACCCCTTTTTCACCATTCTGCTTCATTCTATCTCTATAGTTCTGCTGCTATAGGCTTAGACTGCCGGAGGACATAGAGACCCCTTTCTCATCATTCTGCTTCATTCTATCTCTATAGTTCTGCTGCTATAGGCTTAGACTGCCGGAGGACATAGGGACCCCTTTTCCATCATTCTGCTTCATTCTATCTCTATAGTTCTGCTGCTATAGGCTTAGACTGCTGGAGGACATAGGGACCCCTTTTCCATCATTCTGCTTCATTCTATCTCTATAGTTCTGCTGCTATAGGCTTAGACTGCTGGAGGACATAGGGACCCCTTTTTCATCATTCTGCTTCATTCTATCTCTATAGTTCTGCTGCTATAGGCTTAGACTGCTGGAGGACATAGGGACCCCTTTTCCATCATTCTGCTTCATTCTATCTCTATAGTTCTGCTGCTATAGGCTTAGACTGCTGGAGGACATAGGGACCCCTTTCTCATCATTCTTCTTCATTCTATCTCTATAGTTCTGCTGCTATAGGCTTAGACTGCTGGAGGACATAGGGACCCCTTTTTCACCATTCTGCTTCATTCTATCTCTATAGTTCTGCTGCTATAGGCTTAGACTGCTGGAGGACATAGGGACCCCTTTTTCACCATTCTGCTTCATTCTATCTCTATAGTTCTGCTGCTATAGGCTTAGACTGCTGGAGGACATAGGGACCCCTTTTTCACCATTCTGCTTCATTCTATCTCTATAGTTCTGCTGCTATAGGCTTAGACTGCCGGAGGACATAGAGACCCCTTTCTCATCATTCTGCTTCATTCTATCTCTATAGTTCTGCTGCTATAGGCTTAGACTGCCGGAGGACATAGGGACCCCTTTTCCATCATTCTGCTTCATTCTATCTCTATTCTCCCACTCTGCAGAATCTGTTAGTTCAATCTCTAACGTTCTGCTCTCTCTGCTTTTTCTCATAGTAAATATTTATCAATTCTGAAAGGTTTGTTTTGGGTTTTGAAGGGAGTTTTTCCTCTCCACTGTCGCTACAAGCATGCTTAGTGTGAGGGATTGCTGAAGAGTCAATGAGTCGATGCAATCAGCTGGTTTTCCTTAGATAGAAAACTTTGAATCAATCTGACTGGATGATCTGGTTGGTCTGGATCTATAAAGTGACCTGAGATGACATGATGTGAATTAGAGATATAGAGATAAACTGAATAGAATTAAACTGCATAGAAATAAACTGAATAGAAATAAACTGAATTGCTGCCGTTTAGATTCGTCCTCCTGACATCATTCCTCTCATTCAGCAGAAAAAAGGTCAAAATAAAGTTTATAAGCAGCTTCAGAAAACATGGAGACTTCAGTTTAAAGTTTAATCTGCATCATTGCTGCTTTATTTCTGCGTTTCTCTTCCTCTCGTCTGTTTAGCTCAGATCGTCTCCTCCTCTCCTCCTCTTTCTTCTCCGTCTCTCCCGGTTCTGCTTCACCTCTCCTGAACTGTCTCCTCCGTTTCCTCCCTGCGTGTCGGGTCGCTTCCCGCCTCCGCCGTCTCCTCTGCCCCGTTTTCACGCAGCTTGGGGCCAGCGGTTTCCACGGTAACACAAACACGGTGTAGTCACCTCTCCGTCAGTCAGAGTCTGTCAGTCCCGCCCAGATCGCATCCTGATCCCCAGCATCAGGCCCAACGGGCCCAGCCGCAGGGAACGCGCCGTCCTGGTGGTCTAATTCACCAAACCGCCTCTCAGACATGATTTATTGGAGGAATTATAAAACATTTCCCAGGAAGCTTCATATTAAAGGCTTTTTTCCCTAACAAATGAGGACGACAGCAGCAGAAAGGAAACCCTGGAGGACTGCTGGCATATCCGGCTTTATAGAGGTCAGAGCGGTCCGATTCCAGAAATCCTGATCCTACAAAACATGACTCAGCAGCTTCTTCAGCGCCTCGCTCAGAAATTAAAGTCTGCAAAGTTTAGATGAAACTCAGAAAAAAGAACTCTGGTTAGACGAGAGGAAACAATTCCTCTGAGCGTTCAAGGTTCTGGGTGAGAGAATCTTCTTAGCAACGCTCTGAAACCTCTTAGAATAAAAATAAAAGAATAATTCAGAGACTAAGTGAGTCACGTTAGAGCAGATCTGCTTCAATTCCAAACATCTGATAGAAGACAGAAACGACTGGGAGCAAAACGAACCGCCACAGAAAAAAACCATCTAGAAATAAGTAGAAATGTCTCAAATTAAGTGTATTTACCATTAATTTGAGCCGGTAAATGAGATGTTTACTCTTAAAATAAGATAATTAGATAATATGCTCTTAAAATAAGACAAAGCAATAGTTTTTTTTCTTATTTTAAATGTAAATAGTCTTGTTCTATTAGCAAAATGTCTCTTTTATCTCCTCAATCCAAGAATAAATGCACTTATTTTAAGAAAGTTTACATCTGCAGACGAACCAGGTAAACAGATTCCTCACATGCAAAAATATTTTTTTATCTCAATAAGTCATTATTTTCTTAAAATAAGTGCATTTTATCTTGAATTGAGGAGGTAAGTCAGACATTTTGCTAATAGAACAAGAAAATTTACACTTAAAATGAGAAAAAAACATTTATATCGCCTTATTTCAAGTGAATATTATCTAATTATCTTATTTTAAGAGTAAAAATCCTCATTTCATTGGTAAATCGTCATCATTACCGGTTCAAATTAAGAGTAAATAAACTTAATTTAAGACATTTTTACTGATTTTTAGGTTGGTTTTTGCAGTGCATGTCCTCCAGCACGGCAGCCGGACCGTCCGTCCAACAGAAACGCATCCTGACCCAGATAGCAGCGGCGGTTTGGACTCACCCTGCGTCGCTGCTGTTCCCGCAGATCAAGGCATCCTTGGCTCCTTCCACTTTGTAGAAGTTATCTAGAACAGAAGAACATCGGCGGTTAGACCTTCTGGCTGATCTAAGGCGATCAGACAGTTTTCTTCAAATGAACGAAATAAATAAGACAATTAATCGATTTATTGAGATGATTTACAGTTTAAATAAAGAAAATAACTCTGAAGAAAGAAATCTTCACATAAAAAAAATAACACTCCACTTTATTTCACATATATGCAAATAAACTCTCAATGCGGATTTCAAATGTTTTACGTAAGCTGATTCGGGACCAAGACAGCCCAGTATGTCACACATTAAAACTTTCCTCTTTGATAAAGCTTCTAGTTAGAGTGGCTCAGGTTATCCTGAGCTATCTCTATAGTTCTGCTGCTATAGGCTTAGACTGCTGGAGGACATAGGGACCCCCATTTCATCATTCTGCTTCATTCTATCTCTATAGTTCTGCTGCTATAGGCTTAGACTGCTGGAGGACATAGGGACCCATTTTTTTCCCAAAAAACACTTTGGTTTCTTATTTAAAGTCCATATTATCTACTTACCGTATTCTAGGTTTAAACATACTCATTCTTTTGGAAAATCATCTCATTTTCCTGCTCAAACTCTGGACAGATACAGATCTTCTGGACCTTTTAGATAATTTTATTTTAGTATTTATTTAACAGATGAATGGAGATCACCACAACCACCACATTATGTATCTTGAATTCAACAATGGGCGTGGCCAAATGGCTCAACAGCGCCCGCTAAAGCGAGATGGGGAGAACCGTAAGTCACAGAGATTTGAAATTTGGCAGGTAGGTAGATCTCGAAAAATCCTGAAAAAAAGTCTCTTGGAGGTATGTTCTAGAACCTACGGGAAGTCAGCCATTTTGGGTCAAAGGTGAATTTGTGGCAGTTTTTCCATTTTGCTAAAGTCGAACTTTAACTAACTGCTTCTAGGGTTTATGAGCCATCGGCTTCGAACTTGGTGTGTAAGGAGATAAGGCATGTGAGATCTAGAGTTAGAGTTTTTCTGAGTTTTTGAGCATGCTGAGGGGGTGTGGCCAGGCCTTAAAGATGGCATACTTGGCAAGAATTTCAAAACACAATAACTTCTACATATAAAACTAAAGTAACGCCAAACTTGGTAGTATTGATTCCCTCTGCATTCACAACAATGCCGTACAATCAAATTTTTATATCATTGAAGCCACGCCCCCCTGAGAACAGGAAGTCAGTTTGGTCCTTGGAATGATCCCTACTTGATTTAAGGTGATCATCTTGCTGGTGGAGAATCTCTTCGACTGGATTCACTAAAGTTCACGTATCTTTGAAAAAAACGGACACTTTTCTTCAGCCTGTTAAAGACAGAAACTCCTGAGGACGTACTGTTGGCGTTCCGCCGTCTGTCCTCCAGCTTCCACCTCGTCTGTCTGCGTTACCAGGATCAATAAACTCATCAGGCAGCGCCCCGTCTCTTTCAGACGTGTAAGACACTGTCTGAGTCGACACACAACAAAGCCTAATCCATTACAGCAAACATGCTTTTTCCAACACTTAAATCCGACCAGCGGCCGTTCCTAAGATCATTAAAAGGCTCTAATGGCGTCTGGTTGAATCCTCCGGGTGCCGAGCGGCCCGAGCCCACTCAGGAGCGAAAAGCTTTTATTGGCCGTCTGAAGGAGGAAACAAGCACGGCTTCAGGTCTGCTGCGGTCTGAGGAATCACTTTAACCAGGCTGGTTTTATATTATTAAGGGATTTAACCCGGCGGGTCCGATACAGGGCCCAACTGACACCTGATCATGTTCGTCTGTTTATAGAAATGGTCCAAACGCAGTCACATGGTGTTTCATCCACACGTCTTTCATATGGGGCTTTAACGTTTCATTTTATAACTGTGTAAAATAAATAAAATGAGATTTAAAATTCCACCTGACATCTGTCATTTTTAGCCCCGCCCCCCAATGGCCGCCATCTTTTGAAACTAGAGGCTCAGAACTTTCCAAGGAGGGGTCAGAGGTCATTGTGTGTCCATTTCAGGTGATGTAACCGGCGTGTGTTACATAAGCTGCTCTGTTATTCTTTATTTCTATCCAGTTTGGTGATTTTATTGGTAAATTTCAGTGAACTAACGGCTAAATCTGAGGAGTAAAGGCTTTGCCTCATGTAGAAGGTCTCCAATAATAGAAATCAGCATATTTGTCTAATTAGATTCCCTTTGATGAGTGGAATAAATGCACTTTTTGGACATTTGGCATTGTGAAAAAAAAACAGATTTTCTAGCACACTTCCCACTAAAACCATTGTGGAACAAACATGCTTCAACTTATTTAGTCCAGATTTGCTTGAGTTATATTTAAGATGGGGATCTATAAAGTCTGAGGGTTTTAAATGGACTTTCATGGTGTTCTGCAGTGTTTGATTTGGAAAGGCTAAATATTTTTCTATTTTTGTTTGTTTAATCAACTATAAATCAGACCTGGTGACATTTAAAATAGTGGTTCCGCCTAAAAATATTCCTCAATGCCTTTCTGTTATACAAATACAAACTATTGTATTTCTAATTTATAGTTTGGGAGCTGAACTTCCTTTAATTAATGTATTAATGTAATTTCAGGCATATTTGCTCCTTAGACCGTCAGAGCTTAAGGGGTTAAATTCCAATATAAAGACAAAGAAAAACCAACAGGAGTCAATGCTTCTTTAGAACAGATAATGAAGCAGCTGACACCAAAGAAGATAAAAAGCTGGTTTCATCAGACCAAAGGATGTGATTGTTCTTATTCGGTTCCTCTGAAGTCGTATTTATGTGTCTGGGCTGCCAGACTGAATGGCTCTCCGTGTTCAGGCCTCTCCTCCGACATTAATCCGTTCTGTCGTGCATCCAGCTCCTCTTTTCCTGACTTCCATTCCATCTGACAGAACAGCCACAACAGAATTTAAAAGCCCCCAAAAGTCCAGCAGCTCCCAGAATAAAGCAGAGAGACAGAAAGAGGAGCTGCGGGATGTTTGAGGTGAAAAGTGTCCGTTAGAGCCGCTGTTCTATCAGACCAGCAGACCCCATCAGACCAGCATACCCCATCAGACCAGCATACCTCGTCAGACCAGCATACCCCATCAGACCAGCACACCCCATCAGACCAGTATACCCCATCAGACCAACATACCCCGTCAGACCAGCATACCCCATCAGACCAGCACACCCCATCAGACCAGCATACCCCATCAGACCAACATACCCCGTCAGACCAGCATACCCCGTCAGACCAGCATACCCCATCAGACCAACATACCCCGTCAGACCAGCATACCCCGTCAGACCAGCATACCCCATCAGACCAGCACACCCCATCAGACCAGCACACCCCATCAGACCAGCACACCCCATCAGACCAGCATACACCATCAGACCAGCACACACCATCAGACCAGCACACACCATCAGACCAGCACACCCCATCAGACCAGCACACCCCATCAGACCAGCACACCCCATCAGACCAGCATACACCATCAGACCAGCACACACCATCAGACCAGCACACACCATCAGACCAGCACACCCCATCAGACCAGCACACACCATCAGACCAGCACACACCATCAGACCAGCACACACCATCAGACCAGCACACCCCATCAGACCAGCACACCCCATCAGACCAGCACACCCCATCAGACCAGCACACCCCATCAGACCAGCATACCCCATCAGACCAGTATACCCTGTCAGACCAGCATACCCCATCAGACCAGCACAGCCCATCAGACCAGCATACACCATCAGACCAGCACACCCCATCAGACCAGCATACCCCATCAGACCAGCATACCCCATCAGACCAGTATACCCTGTCACACCAGCATACCCCATCAGACCAGCACACCCCATCAGACCAGCAGACCCCATCAGACCAGCATACCCCATCAGACCAGTATACCCTGTCAGACCAGCATACACCATCAGACCAGCATACCCCGTCAGACCAGCAGACCCCATCAGACCAGCATACCCCATCAGACCAGCACACCCCATCAGACCAGCACACCCCATCAGACCAGTATACCCTGTCAGACCAGCATACACCATCAGACCAGCATACCCCATCAGACCAGTATACCCTGTCAGACCAGCATACCCCATCAGACCAGCACACCCCATCAGACCAGCATACCCCATCAGACCAGCATACACCATCAGACCAGCATACCCCATCAGACCAGCATACCCCGTCAGACCAGCATACCCCATCAGACCAGCATACCCCATCAGACCAGCATACCCCATCAGACCAGCATACCCTGTCAGACCAGCATACTCCATCACACTAGCGTACCCTGTCAGACCAGCATACCCCGTCAGACCAGCATACCCCGTCAGACCAGCATACCCCATCAGACCAGCATACTCCATCACACTAGCGTACCCTGTCAGACCAGCATACACCATCAGACCAGCAGACCCTGTCAGACCAGCATACCTCGTCAGACCAGCACACCCCGTCAGACCAGCATACCCTGTCAGACCAGCACACCCCATCAGACCAGCAGACCCCATCAGACCAGCATACCCCGTCAGACCAGCATACCCCATCAGACCAGCACACCCCATCAGACCAGCACACCCCGTCAGACCAGCATACCCCGTCAGACCAGCATACCCCGTCAGACCAGCATACCCCGTCAGACCAGCATACCCCGTCAGACCAGCATACCCCATCAGACCAGCATACCCCGTCAGACCAGCATACCCCATCAGACCAGCACACCCCATCAGACCAGCATACCCCATCAGACCAGCATACCCCGTCAGACCAGCATACCCTGTCAGACCAGCACACCCCATCAGACCAGCATACCCCGTCAGACCAGCATACCCCATCAGACCAGCATACCCTGTCAGACCAGCATACCCCGTCAGACCAGCATACCCCATCAGACCAGCACACCCCATCAGACCAGCATACCCCGTCAGACCAGCATACCCCGTCAGACCAGCACACCCATAGTCAATACCCAGTTATCTCTTTAATTTATCC